ATAATGTATTTTCTAGTCCTCTTCATCAGAGATTTTAGGCAGTGACTGAAATACCAAACACCCTAATTCAATGTTCAGAATTTGAGCCCCAGCACTGAAACAGATACATATTTCAAAGTGACAGTTTCATTACTAAAAAGTTTAAATCCTACTCCTGCCTAAGTGCACTGAAGAAGGAAGCATTGACTCATTCATAGGCTAGTTCCATGTCTCTTGCAACATGGGTAGAAGAGGAGAGCTTAAGTTTGTTTTCAGAGAGACAGTTCTAAGGGAGAAATAGGTGAATTTATACAAGTGGATGAAGTAACAAATGAAGTGATTTGTCATCCATTTGAAACAATTACTTGTACCTAATTTTGCAAGCTTGCTTTTTTATGATGAGCCATAAAGTCAGTTGTATAAGTTACTAATAGACAAATGGGGTACTCATGAACCTAATTCTATAGTTTACCTTCTTAATGAGACAGCAGGCATACAGACAAGTTCCATTCATCATAATTGTAATAAAATTGCAGAGTTGTAACCCTCTGTAATTGTGAAACTCAAGTCTAAATGACAAAACAATAATAACCAGAGCTGTCATTTAATAAATCACTAGTAGAACTAGACAATATCTTTCACAAATTGAAGACCTTACCTGTTTCAAGACTGCAACTCCATTCTTTTGGTATAAGTCTTATTGGGTCTGGCCTACACTGGAGTTTTAGCCAGCAGTGTAATGCACACGTGCAAACCACTAGTGTACATGTTACACAAGTGTAAATCACAACTTATGCTAGCGTAAATGGTGAACTTTAGGGGTTTGCAGCCGTACAGCTACACTGCTGGCTAACCATTGAGGGTAGCCAATGCCCAAAACATTAGAGCAGATTGGAGGTGATAGAGTCAAAGCTGTCTAGTGGGGAGAAGAATGGAGTGGGGCTTCTTGAGACACCAAGACTCCTGGATTCTTTCCCTGTTCTACCAATGATTTGTTGTATGACCTTGGGCAAGTCATTTTTAACTTCATTATCAATTAAATAATGACAATATTTCCCTATCTTCCAATAGTGTTGAGGCTTAATGTTTTTAATGTATTGTTTGTACAAAATCTTGCACAATGAGGCCTAACCTACTGCAATATACACATTGTATAATAATAAAGATTTTGAGATCCTCAGGGCACTGTGGAAGTGCAGAGTATTTTATTACTATTATTTGTCCTGGTTGGACATGTTTCCAGTGTGAATTGTGGTATTATTTGCATATGCCAAATAGTTTAATTTTTGAAACATAACTACAGTCCCTGGGAAAAGAGCAAGTTTTTATCCAGAGTTACAGGAATTGTACCCCATTTCAATGTGAAATTAAAAAGATCAATTTTTAATTCAATATATATCATGGGCAGGAGAGGTTTTATACTGTTTGTTCTCTGTCTGTGTAGCCTTAGGTTTAGAGTTGTCTGTCAGGAATAGTGGGTGAACTCCTGACCCTATTGAAATCAATGGCAAAACTCCTATTGACTTAAGTCAGGATTTCATCCAGTAGCCAGGGGTAGGGCTGTAGGGCACAGGCCCTAACCACTCACTTGGCAGACAACTTTTAGGGCTTCTTCAACAAGTCACGATGACTGCTAGAATATCTGTTTTCTTTCGGAGTGTTTTTATAAGTGAGTGCCATAAGTTGTTTTATTTTGCTGAAACTGCTAGTTTTTCCATTACGTGGTTTATTCTTGCTTTTATTGTAGCAACAACAGAGCGTTTCTTCCTCATTACTGTATCTTTAAACAATAAATGTAATGCAAATATTAAATACCATAAAGTGATTTAGCTTTCACCCTCTACCCTTTGTGCTATCATCCGGAGGTCTGAAAATTTGTCTCTATCAATAGTGGCCTTTTCAATCTTTCCTCACCTGCACATGGTGTTTCCAGCTTACAAGGATAAAAAAATTCCTCCTTATGATTCACTTCTATGAAGATACTCATAGGAAATTAATTCATCTTAATTTATTCATACAATTTTTGTTCCATCATGCTGTGTTAAGTATTGTTGTGCAAGGGAAGTAGTCTTGTTGTTATCTTTACCTTTGATATCCCTTTTGCTAAGTTAATGCTCTGGGGCAGAGAACATGAAGTATTTGTACTGCAAGATGTGTATTGCACTTTCGAGTTCTATAAAATAAATAACTCAAATCCTGGAGGTCCTACAAAATTTTACACTTAAATGATGGCTATTTCTTCTTCTAGAAGACCCAGGCTATTTACTAAGTTGGAGTGAACAAAAGCTGCATTCATAAGTGTGCTTGAACTGAACGTAATTCCATTACAGTGCATACAATATAGTGCTGGTCTGCTAAAGATTAAAAAGAACACTAGAAAGGTGGGGTACTCTGTCTCTAATGGCTTTGAATACTGTTTATGGCTTTTTCTCTTTGTTGGACGAAGAGTTGGTAAGTTCACTAATGCATATTAAATGAAAATGTATGAGACTGAAATATCCCAGAGAGAAGCTAACATTGATTTATTACCAGTACATTTGATTACGTATCCAGGAGTCAACACAAAAACTCCATCAGTAGTAAATATGCATTCCAGTACAGTTTCTGCCTAGTTTAAAGAATTTACACACTGGGCTATTTATATCACCTCTATTGGAGCAGGCTTGTCTGAAAAGTTCCATGTATCTGCACAGCCTAATATATTGAAATATTCATCTGATCCCAAAAAAGTCAACACAGAAACATTTTCACAGCTCAGAAATGACCTCTGGAATAATTTTGCTGAACTGAAGCTGTAATACCAGTTTAAGAATAAGGGGATGATTATTCCAATTCTCACTTGGATGATTTTTTTTTCTTTTGTGGGGGAGGGCAGAGATTCTTCTGAAGCCCTTTTGGAACCCTGATATTCTCTATGCTTTCCCCTATTTTACAATTTCTACTCTTAGCAGCTGCAATGCAGGTGTGTGTGTGTGTGTGTGTGTGTGTGTGTGTGTGTATGTGTGTGTGTGTGTGTGTGTGTGTGTGGCCAACAAGGACTAGATGGGGCTCTCGGTGGGATATTGTCAGGATGGAACGGCTGCTGTAGCCGTGCCTAAACCGTTAGAGGGACACAATTTCCTCACTTATTCAGATTCTCACCTTTGTGGATTAGCCTGGATTTGTACGTATTCTTCAGCACTCTCCAGCATCCAACTTTATGTGGGTGATGTATTTTAAATAAATAAAGACAGACCCAAGATGAAAAGCACTTTAGATATACCATAGACTAAATGTACAGTCTTCCTCCAGAAGTGAATGTATAACAAGGAACTTGGTATGTATAGGGTTAGCTATGCAGAGAAAGATTTTCAAAGGCACAAATATCTCCATTTTCATGACTATTAACCCTTCCTAATTCTTAAATATTCAGTGTATTCTGAAAGGTGTAGAGATAGTCAAAGCTTCAAAATTTGGATCTAGATTTCATACATTCTACAGTTCAGGGCTGTTTTTATGTGAGGTTTTGGCTTGGCCATTTACAAATATTACAATCCCTTTGCAAAATGTAGGTATTTGAACCCCAAAATTCAAAGGAGTTTTGGATTAATGAATTTGGTTTGGGCCTATCTCCAGTAATCTTTACTGAAAAACAACCTGGCTTAAATTCAAACCTATGAATTTACCTAATTCTTTTGTGAACCTAGTTATTCTTTTGTCTTCACAATATTCCCTGCCAACAGATTGACTGTGTGTCGTGTGAATAAGCACTTCTGCTTGTTTGTTTTAAACCTGCTGCCTATTAATTTCATCAGGTGACTCTTGGTTCTTGCGTCATGTGAAAGGTGAAATAACACTTCCTTACTAATTTTCTCCATACCAGTCATGATTTTTGTTGCCCTTCTCTGTACTTTTCCCAATTCTACTAATGTCTTTTTTGAGATGGGGTGACCAGATCTGCACATAGTACTGTATAGTGTTTCATTGAGATGTTTTCTTTTAATGTTATGGACAATTCTGAATTTTAATTCCCTATCCCCGAAAAGTCTAATTTTATTAAGTTTGGGTTGACAACTGCCTGTGGCATTCAGCACTATATAGAGTTAATTCTGAAATTTTCTTACTTAAAACACCGCTGTAATAGAAATGGTATTTATATAAAATAGGAAACATGATTGTGAAACTTAACTATCTTCCCTTTGGTTTTGAAATAAGAAATGTGTTTAGTTAAATGATCACAAACTAAAACCCTGCACGTGAACAGCTCTGGAAGGGCTGAGGGGGGATGTCTGGGTCCTGGTTCATCTATCACTGTTAATATCTGACAAATTTTTAAAAAGGGGTCTTCAGGCCTGTCAGTTAGGGTCTCTGACCTTTCACATACAGTTTTTTCAAACACCCACCTCATGAAATCTCCCACGCCCTAGTTCTGCTACTGCTGTTACCTGGCTCCACTTTCCGACTTTTGTAAAGTAAGAGGGAGAAATAAAGTCCAGGGAGGCACAGGGAGCAGAACCTTACTCTTCTGCCATATTTAATTTAAGGGACCTGAACGTTGAAGGTGGAAGGGATAATGGGGCGGAGGGAATTAAACCGCGACCCAGCCAGAAACCCACACACTACAGCCAAAGCCCTAAAGTCTAGCAAGAAAGTTTAATTCTGGATGATTAATTTGGCAGCGGGCTGCACATCCCTATTGCCCTGGGCACGTGAAACCCGCCCTGTGCACCATTGTGCTGTTACCGTCAGCGGGGCTCCCCCTTCACCATTCCCTGCCGCCGGGAACAGCCGGGTCGGCGCTCTGCCCTGGCGGGGTTCCCCGGGGCCAGCCCGGCGGGGTTTCTGCGGCCCGGGGGCAAACGAGTGAGTGCCCCTTCCCGGGAGCTCTCCGGGCACGCGGGAGCCGGGAATCCGGGCCCTGTTAAGACCCAGCGATGCGAACTGCCGCAGCTGGGAGCAGAGCAGCCGCTAACCTGTAGGCGCCAGCGGCCCTGCCCAGGGGAGAGCCCGACCTGTGGCCGCCGCCTGCTTTGGCTGGGTCCCACCATGAGACGGCTGCTGCATCGGCCCGAGCCTTGCCCCAGCCAGGAGCACAGCTGGATCCCCTCCCGCTGCGTTCATGGACGTCCGAGCCGCCCGGAGAGCCGGCAGCGGGAAAAGCGAGCCCAGGTCTGCGCCGTGGCAGGGACCCGCTGCCCTGGGGGGCCGGGGGCGCGCGGCTGGGCTGGGGGAGCTCGAGAGGCTGGGCCCAGGGGCCTGGCCACAGGTGTCACCTGCAGTCGTCGCGTTGTGTCTGAGAAGGCAAAGCTAGTAGTGGGGGGGCGGACATCTTGCTGGGATTACTTGTGGCACCTTAGAGACTAACAAATTTATCTGAGCATAAGCTTTCGTGGGCTACAGCCCACTTCTTCGGATGCATATAGAATGGAACATATATATATATATATACACACACATATAGAGAGAGCATGAACAGGTGGGAGTTGTCTTACCAACTCTGAGAGGCCAATTAACTAAGAGAACAAAAGTTGTTTTTTTTTTTAAGTGATAATCAAGATAGCCCAGTACAGACAGTCTGATAAGAAGTGTGAGAATACTTACAAGGGGAGATAGATTCAATGTTTATATATGTGTGTGTGTATGTGTATATATATATGTGTGTGTGTGTTTGTGTGTGTATGTATGTATATATGTGTGTATCTCCTCAATATATGTTCCATTCTATATGCATCCGAAGAAGTGGGTTGTAGCCCACGAAAGCTTATGCTCTAATAAATTTGTTAGTCTCTAAGGTGCCACAAGTACTCCTGTTCTTTTTGCGGATACAGACTAACACGGCTGCTACTCTGAAACTTGCTGGGATTGTTCTTGCAGCTTGTGTGCAATAGGTAGCCCATACCTTCACCCCCAATCCATGGAAACTCCCAGTGCTGCCTCTGGGGAGAAAGAGACTATGTCGTCCCAAACTTTTTAAAGAGTTTTCCGTCCTGATTTTGAAAACCATTGTAATGACATTGTCGCTTGATGGCACCTGCTAGCCATTCCAGTTTTCTCAGGCACTCCTTTGTAAAGGAAACCTGTGCCATAGAGTCACTTAATTTTGAAGGTAGGTTATGGTATCTTAATGTCAGGTGAAATGGAGACTGTGTGTTTGCTGGATAAACAATCCTTGTTTATACCCAATTGGTGTTGTATTCTTCTATTTTGACATATAGTTCCTGCTTCCTCAAAGAAGACAGATTTGAGATTTGTTTTCTGCTCTTGAGCTGGCCTGAGATGCCATCCGTTTAAATAATAATAAAAACTCCATGAGATGAGGAGTCCCTGTTTTGGGCTAACAAGGAAATCAAGCTCATGTGATCTTTCAGTTGTTTTAACTCAGTTTATGAACTCTGATGCCTTCATAAAACTGATTAACTTCTAGTTTGTGTGTGTGTGTGGGGGGGGTACTTTGGTTAACAAGTGAATCTGTGTTTAAATAATTAGCTAGGATCTGGAATCTTATGTGTTCCAGTCTAAAAAATAGCATATCTTATTTACCTCTGAGAATAGACTCCCCACCGAATATGAAGATTCTTGAAATAAACAGTTTGTTATACAATCAGAGTCAATGTAACAAACTTAAAGCTATTGTCCTTCAGCAGACAAGGAAGACATTTACTGATAAAAGATCAGTCTGGGGTACATTATAAAACATCAGATTCTAGGCTATTAAGTGGTTTCAAAGTGCATCTACAGAGTTGTCTATTTTTTACCTCTTTCCACACATGAGTAACTTGCACTGGGCTTAGTGGGATTTATATGTGCAAACTGAGGAGAGAATAACTTCAATACAAGATTTAAATTGATCTAGAAAAACCATGACAGAAAGTGTTTCCTGGGTTTTAGAGCATACGTCTTAAGGGCTCTCAATCTGCCACGGAACTTCCATTAATGTTGGTTAGAGTTGCTGGCGAGGACCAAGGGAAGTGGTATGTGGCACTTAGAGCAGTGAAGCGACTGAGTGATTAGCAAATTTACACTTCCTATAGAACCATTGTGAGGAGCTAAAAACGCCGAATGTTTTAATGTGTTTATAACAGCCTTGCACAATTCTACTGGCAGATTCTCCTTGGACAAGAATTTTTCTAACAGGCTACTAAAATGTCGGGGGGAGGGGAGGTTGTTTTTTTTCATCCTTAAGGGTAGATGAGTAGATTTTATGCCTGGGCGAATACATTTTCATGATGGTATTTTGCAAGGCTGTTACATAATGAAGATTGATTAATGTGATAGTGGCTTAGTGTGGTTGTGACCACATTACACAGGCATTTGTTGGAGAGTAAGTTTTGGGCACAAGAAGGAATGTTTATTCAGAAGCATCGGGTAATTTTGTTTAAATTTTGGGAGACAAGGAAGGATGTGCCAGAAATCACACTGACTCAGCTGCTGATGCTTTCAGTACATCCAGTATACTCAATTCTTGTTTCCTTCCTGTAGCTACTGGACCTAACTTTCATACTCTGACCTAACATATTTTGCAAGGTACTTTTAAGTACCCTGGATATTTGGATTTTCATACTGTAAGTCACTGAAAATTACATAATGTATTATGTCTCCGTTGAGGGCAACTGCACATTTATTCACCCTTTGCGGTCTAGCAAGGACACCCAATTTTAGTTTTTTTTTTTTGCTCCCCACCTGATACCAGTAGCATGCCAGCAAGAGAAAGATGAAAGGAAGTTCAGGTCCTCTGCTTAGCAGGGAAAGGGGGCTAATTAGTAATAACAGACAACATAAGAAGGCTGAGGTGTTTAATGCCTATTTTGCTTCAATTTTCACTGAAAAGGATAATTGTGAGCAGATACTTAACACAATTAATATTAACAACAAGGGGGGAGACACAGAAGCCCACAAAGGGAAAGAACAGGTTAAAGAATATTTAGTTGTTAGATGTATTCAAGTCAGCAGGGCCTGATGAATTTCATCTTAGGGTACTTTAGGAACTAGCTGAAGCAATCTCAGAAACATTAGCTATTATCTTTGAGAACTCATGGAGCACAGGTAAGGTCCCAGAGGATTGCAGAAGTCCAAACATAGTACCTGCCTTTAAAAAGGGGAACAAAAAGGACCTGGGGAACTGTAGACCAGTCAGCCTAACTTTGATACCTGGAAAGATTCTGTAACAAATTATTAAACTGTCAAATTGTAAGTGCCTAAAGGATAATCGGGTTATAAGTAGGGCCCTACCAAATTCACGGTCCATTTTGGTCAATTTCACAGTCATAAGATTAAAAAAATTGTAAATGTAATGATTTCAGTTATTTAAATCTGAAACTTCACAGTGTTATAATTGTAGGGGTCCTGACCCAAAAAGGAGTTGTGAGGGGGGTGCGGTACTGCTACTCTTACTTATGTGCTGCTGCTGGTGGCGGCGCTGCCTTCAGAGCTGGACAGCTGGAGAATGGCGGCTGCTGGCTGGGATCCCAGCTCTGAAGGCAGAGCGGCTGCCAGCAGGAGTGCAGAAGTAAGGATGTCATGGTATAGTATTGCCACCCTTACTTGTGCGCTGCTGCCTGCAGAGCTGGGCCCTCAGTCAGCAGCCGCCACTCTCCAGCTGCCTAGCTTTGAAGGCAGCAGTGCAAAAGTAAGGGTGGCATAGTATGGTATTACCAACCTTACTTCTGTGCTTCTGCTGGTGGGGTGCCGCCTTCAGTGCTGGGCGCCTGACCAACAGCCGCTGTTCTCTGACCATCCAGTTCTGAAGGCAGGGCAGAAGTAAGGGCGGCAATATCACGACCCCCTAAAATAACCTTGCGACCTCCCCTGCAACTCTTTTGGGTCAGGACCCCCAATTTGAGAAATGCTGGTCTCCCCATGAAATCTGTATAGTTTAGGGTAAAAGCACCCAAAAGACCAGATTTCACCGGTGGGGAGATCAGACTTCAGAGTCTGTGATGCATTTTTCATTGCTTTGAATTTGGTAGGATCCTAGTTATAAGGAATTGCCAGCATGGATTTCTTAAGAACAAACTGTACCAAACCAACCTAACTTCCTCCTTTGACAGCGTTACTGGCCTTGGGGATAGAAAGGAAACTGTAGATGTGCTAAATCTAGATTTTTTTAATAAGGCTTTTGACACAGCCTACATGACATTCTCATAAGCACACTAGGGAAATGTGGTCTAGATTCAATTACCATAAGGTGGGTGTACAACTAGTTGAAAATCCATACTCAACGGGTAGTTATCAATGGTTCACTGTCAAAGCATCTAGGGAGGTCCCGCAGAGGTCTGTTCAGGGTCTGATACTACTCAATATTTTCATTAATGACTTGGATAATGGAGTGGAGAGTATGCTTATACATTTTCAGATGACACAAAGATGGGAAGGGTTGAAAGCACTTTGAAAGAACAGGATTAGAATTCAAAACAAACTTGACGAATTGGAGAATTGACAAATTTCAACAAAATGAAATTCAAAAAAGGCAAGTGCAAAGTACTACACGTAGGAAGCAAAAATCAAACGCACCACTACAAAATGGAGACTAATTGGCTAGAGGGTAGTATTCTGAAAAGGATCTAGAGATTGTAGTAGATCACAAATTGAATGAGTCAACACAGTGATGCAATTGTGAGAAAGGTTTATGTCATTCTGGGGTGTATTACACAGGTAGTAGATGTGCCGTCTTACTCAGCACTGGTGGGGCCTTAGCTGGAGTAGTGTTCTGGGTGCCACATTTTAGGAAAGATGTGGACAAACTGGAGTGAGTCCAGAGGAGAGCAACAAAAAAGATAAAAGATTTAGAAAACCTGACCTGTGAGGAAAGGTTAAAAACGGGGCATGTTTAATCTTGAGTAAAAGACTGAAGAGTAGCCTGATAAGTTTTCAAATATGTTAAGGGTTGTTATAAAGAGTAAATGGTTTACAATGAATAATTTACCCAACATATGTAGCTTCTTCCTCATCACAGAATATCCATGAGCAGATTGTAGTTTTCTGGAATGACAAATAACAATGCTTGGAGTGGATTTTTTTTTCTGTGCATTGATCTTCAACAGTTTGCTGCAAGTGTCTGATAACTGAGCTTTTGCTATCTTGTGATTGGTCAGATAATTCACATGGTATTTTCTTTTCCTTGACTGGATGAGCATGCAAGCATTTTTAATGGGAATAGTCACCCAGGTAAC